TGGGAAAATGCCGAGGAGGGACAGATCTCATCATTAAAGGTACCTGCATAATGAACATTTATATACCTAGCCCTGAATTTTACCCCACATCTTTAAAATGAAAAAAATTTAAAAAAAGAAAAATGTTCTAATGTTTACAACTTGTCCTACATTTCAGAGATGCATGGACACTCTGAAACATAACTATTAATCCCTGGTGAGGTCCATAAACCCCAGGTTAAATATATCTACCATAAAATTTTTTCACCCAGAAAAATGATGTTTTTCTGCATCCTGAAATGATGTATTTAATCTAAAAGGTTAGAGATTTAAGTATGCATAAGAGAAACTAGGTTTCAAGTGGTATAAGATTTGAAATTAAGAGAGGTGCATTTTATTTAAAACGGACCTTCAAGAAGATAGCCACACCTCATGAATACTGAAGCTTTCTAAGAGAAGAACCTATATGATTTAAACAAGGCTGGTGAATTCATCTACAACTTAGATGAACTAACTTCATTTCTAAGACAAACAGATTCTATAGAACTACTGAACAATAAAATGTATTTTATTTTATTTTCTGTAGTGATAGCATGGTAGGAGCTGTAGCAAACTGTTGAATATATCCAATAGTAGCCTGCTCCTTTTAGGTATGTCAAGAATCAGAGTCCTACACTATAAGGAGACATTCTCCCAGCAGTCTACAATAACACACTTTGTTCATTGTGCGCCTATTGTCATGGAATGTAGACTTCTCTCCCTTAACTCACCTGCACTGCATTTTGAGAATGCAAGATATGTGTATCACTAGAACTCTTTCCTCCCAGATCGGCCCAACATAGTGACTTTGAGTTTCTTTTCATTATAACCAAGACTCCATCTCATATTTCTTTGTTTAAAACTTTATTTTCATATATGTGATAATATTACTAATAATAATTGTTTGGAATCTTGAGAAAATCCAGTAGACAATATTACTCTTCCTATCTGGTTCTGAATCAACTGGGAAATAAGACAATGAGTCTGCAAATGGAGGTAAAAATTTCATCTTTATTAATAACAAAGCAGACACAGACTTCATTGTCTGCTTTGGAAGCACAGAGCTAGACAGACAAACACACTTATGCCCCAGCCATTGGCAGCACTGGACAACAACAGAGCCTTCCCGAACAAGGGCAGAGACTGCCCTGGAAAATTCCGCGCCCAGAAAGAAGAGGAGAGAAAAGGGACAGAACACAAGCACTCACTTTCTCCTTCTAAAATCACCAATCAGGTAAGCCACTCCACTTCCGATAGAGAAGAGAAAGTTCAGGAGTATTATTACAATTCCTTTCACATGAAGGAAACATCAGGAATATGGAAGCAGTTATTTCCCACCCTAACTCCATCCCTAACAGCATTTTATTCTCTTAACTCATTAAGTCTGGGGTTAACCAGGGATGTGGTAAGTGTGACAGTCCTATTTCCACCCTCATGTGGCTGCTCCCCCAGTACAAATCACTGTTCTTTTGAGAGGCTCTTGGAACTGTTAGGCAGTTTCAATTTTGCTTGCAGATGGTTCTAAAATGGGTCAGAACTGTAGGCTAATTAAAGCAGCTGTAGCACCACTCTAGACCCACAGATGAACATTCGTTCCCTATTCTTTCCTTGCCAAACTGTGTTCAGCTACACTGTCCAACATTGTTTATCAGAGGTTCTTCAATGAGTTAAATTATACCATTAAGTTACAATAACAAAATGTGAATATACAAATGTCATGATGTATATAAACTATTTTGTCGACTACTGTTAATTTAAATAAGATTACAGACCCTCAACTCTGTAGGAAACCCATACAGTCAGGTGGCTTTTTATTTTATCTCTATGCGCTTGTCATCAAAAAAATACTATGATCCTCTTCTAGTTAACAAAGAAATCTCACAAGTATATACTGTATACCTTTCAGAAAACAGAGATATCAATTTAAATTGTTACCGTGGCCATTAATTAAGATAATCAATAAAAATTACATTTTAGAGGCTCAAGATTAGTCTTAACATACATAGCAACAATTTCTGAAGTTCATTCTTACAGGATTTTTTGTTAGAAATTATGTTTGCAAGGACTTTATTTTTTATTTTTTGGCAAGGACAAATTTTATGTTACAAAATAATATAAGCTTATCTGCCGCTAAAGGACCAAAGGAATAGGTGTTTTCTTCTTATTTTCTTCAACTAAGAAGAAAGCATGCAATTTTCAAGTTGAGGTGCTAAAATTCAACTCATTAGCACTGAGACAAAATTTTAAAAGCCTGAGAAGGTCCAAACATACAATATGGCAAAGAGGAGGTAGAATAAGGTTGTTAGTAATGTATGTGGAGTGTAGGGGAGCCAGAGAGCACCTCTAATCCCTCTTTTGGCTCCTAATGAGAGCTTTAACTGTGTCTAGAAACCAAATTGACACTAGACAAATTAACAAACGTACACAAACTGTATTAGTTTTACCGGTACATGAATATCTTTACAAGAGGGTGAAATATGAAGTGGTCAAAGTAAAAATGCTTTTTTTTATCTTTTAGACAGAGCAATAAATCTGAAAATAAATTACAGGGCAAAGAAAATCTGACTAGCAGCAGTAAAATTTGTTAGGGAAGCCACTAGAAGACATATGAGGGAGTATAAAGAAGGTTGGAAGATAAGGGTTATGTTTTGAGTATGTTTTATTTAGTTCTATGGTAGTCTCTAATTTTAAGTCTCTGGTGATAAGGGCTATTTTTTCACCCTGGTGTGAAGAGAGCACTCCTCTCAGACAACTATTTATTGCTTGTTGTATGTAGAAAGAGACAAGTCAGCTCACCCTTTCTGAAACTACAATTTTTCTATCTTTTTGACTCTAAATAATCTATGCATCAATCTGAAATATTTGGGGATGGCACATTTTTTTACTCCTTCAGGGCATGTAAAGTTTCACACCTATACTATAAAGGGCATGCACATGTAACTTAGTAATATATAAGTAGATATTCATCTCTGATAGCATAGATGACAAAGAGTTAACAAGGGCACCAGATACATGTTCTCTTCCAGAGTGGTCCACCAAGGCAGACCATCCTCCCTGGACTGGCCTCTTTTCAAATGCCTGAGATCTTTTCTGTTACTTGCTACAATGATTTAGTAACAAATATCATTACCCACTGAGCAAAAGAATGAGGCAGGATGTCATTTCATGATATTGTCTCATTTATTTAGACAAATGCTTGACTGTTTAACCTTTAATGATAGCTAACAAGGTACCAGATACTGGGCCTCACAGAATTCTTTCCGGCACAATGAGCCACAAGTAAGCATTTAGCCTCCAGTAGGTCCTAATGATTCCTCAGATCACAAGTCCCAGTCTTCTCTGGAGTATAGCTCACTGACTTATTTTGCCCAGACTCTGATAAGCCCCAACATGTTCACTGAGCACAGGCTTCCAAGCCACATCTTACATATTGCTCTTTGACCTTCCCTTCCCTTTCTGGGCCCCCAAGAGAAGTCCTAGGCACAAGAAAAGTATCCCAAAGCAAAGATGATGGGAGCAGTCTACTACCCAGACACTACTTTGACCTACCATGAAATCACATCTAGAGGGAATCTAAAGCTGCAAGGAGTGGCAGTGATATGGCAGTTAGTTTCTGAAATGCAGATAAGGGAAAAGAGATATTGAAAGACATGGAGAAGAGAGGGAAGTTCAACCAGAGTTAGATGAATAGCAGGCAACCATCATCAAAGAAGGAAAAGGAGAAGGAGAAAAAAAGAGTGAAGTTTGGAAGCGGGTAGGGAAAGGGGGAAAAGACTAGCAGTAAGAGTGTGTAGAAAAGGGAGTAGTAAAAGAGAAAATGAAAATGAATGGTTGACAGAACTGAAAGTTAAGTAGGAATATGCTAACCATCTACAAGCATCTGAAAGGTAGAAGAGATCTGATACATCCTAACTCCAAAGCAAGATGCAAAGAGAGACTTAGTATGAACATAGTGACTTCCTAAAAGTTACACTAGTGAGATTAGTGAGATAAAAGCATGAGGATTGGAAATGCTCATTCTTTGAATATAGAAAAAGAACAAGTTACCCTATTAGAGGCAAAGGGACAGATTAAAGTTCTCTGAAGATCTATTCCAGGAAGGTTGAATTTATGCCCTATTTATGGCTTCCATTTTCTTACAGGGATGGTGGAATCCTTTCCGCCCAAATGTTGTAACCCTAACTTCCAACTCTAGGAGGAAAACTGTCTCCTGTTAGGAAAGCATGCAAAAGCTCACCCAAGGCCCCATCTCTAGCATGTACTGCATGGGTGGTTGAGATAGCTGCAGCAACTGCTGGGACAGTGTGTGTGGGAAGAGGTGGATGACCGGGAAGAGTCAGACACGACTGTCTCCAGAAATGTGCAAATCACTCTCACCTGAGAGACAATCCTGAAGATTAGAATGTTGTTGTTTTCCCTGAAACTTAACCCATTCATCATTTTAAACTAGATGCGCAGAGAACAAGCCATTTTTCTTCTAGAAAAATATACTTTCAAGTATCTAAGTACAAGTATCTATACACTTCTATAAGCTAATAGCCACCATCCTCTCCCCTCACTCACTCTATTCCTCAATTCCTTAAACCTTTCCTCATTTAGCATGGGTCCCAGACCCAACAATCTTATTTTTTCACCTCTGAATGTATCCTGTTAGTGGCTAATCCTTCAATATTTAGGGCCCTGGAGCACATTTAAGACTTCACTTGAGGCCTGCTCAAACCAGAGTCAGGTAAGGTACATTATAACCATAACTTCCTTAATTTACAGTATTATTATTCCATGTATGCAGCCTGTGGTGATCGTGACATTTTCACTACCCCATGACACTGCCAATTTACTAGAGTTTACTCAGTTCCAAAAGGTTTACCTTCACTCGTCCATTCTGTTTTATAGTTGTTTTCTGGGTCCAAGTGAGTACCTTGCATTATCCTACAGCTATTCCCTTGTGCTTCTCCTGTCCTCCCTCCTCAAGCAGGCCCAAGATGGTGAACCTGAAGAACAGCAGGACAGTGAAAGAGTTTATCCCTGTGGGCTTTGAGCAGAGCTCCCCTTCCACTTAGGCACCATTCTTTGCCCTCTTCCTGATCCTCCACAGCCTCACCATGGTCATGAATGGTCTCATCATCTTCATCACCTTAACAACCCCATGTATTTCTTTCTTGGCCACCTGTCTTTCCTGGACATCTGCTTCATCACCATCACCATCCCACAGATGTTGATCCACCTGGTAGCCAAGAACCACACTGTAGGCCGGGCTTGGTGGTTCAACCTGTAATGCCAGCGCTTTGGGAGGCCGAGGTGAGTGGATTGCCTGAGCCCGTGGGTTCTAGACCCACCCAGGCAACTTGGCGAGACCTCATCTCTACAATAAATCAAAAGAAATCAGACGGGCGTGCTAGTGCATGCCTGTAATTCCAGCTACTAGGAAGGCTGAGGTGGAAGGATCGCCAGAGCCCAGCGGCTGGAGGTTGCGGTGGCCGGGAGCATGCCACTGCACTTCAGTCTGGGCGACAGAGTGAGACTCCAACTCAAAAAAAAAAAAAAAAAAGAACCACACTGTCTCCTTTGTATCTTGCATGACTCCGATGTGCGTGGCCTTCTGTGTGGGTGTAACTGAGTGCATCCTCTTGGCTTTTATGGTCTATGACCATTATGTTGCTGTCTCCCATCTGCTTAATTATGCCCAGATTATGAGCCAGCAGGTCTGTGGCAGGCTGGTTAGTACTTCCTGGTTCTTGGGGCTAATCAATGGCTTCTTTCTTGAAGCCATTCTGTCATTCTGGGAATCTTCTGCAGAGACCACATAGAAAACTTCTTTTGTATGGCCCCCATAGTGGTTGCCCTCTCTTGTGGGGACCTTCAGTTTAGTCTGAGGACAATCTTTGCGATGCTGCACAGCCCCCATGGTGCTCATTATCAAAATATAGGGCTAGGGTTAGTGTTAGGGTTAGGGTTTCTATGCCTGCATCCTGGCCTCCTTCCTTGGCAAAGCTTCCTCCTCAGGCTGGGGGAAGACCTTCTCTACTTGTACCTCTCATCTGACTGTGATCATCTTTTCCTACACCTCAGCTATGTTCTCTCACATGAATCCCTGCAGCACACAAAGGCCTGACAAGCCCTTCTTCCTTCTCTACACATCATCAACCCCTGTGCAAACCCATCCTACAGTTTCTGCAATAAGGAAATGAAGGGAGCCATGGTGAGGGCCCTTGAGAGAACCAGCCTGACCCAGTCAGAGTCTGTCTAGCAGGAAGGCCCCTGAAAGGGAAGCTCCCTCTCCTGGGATGGGGGATGCTACTCCTTCCCCAGCCCTGACAAGTGAGTGACTCTCCAATGTCGAAAGGCTCCAGGAAAGAGTAATCATGGCTTCCTCCATACTGGAATCATACCTGCTGTCCAATGCTCATCTCTCTGACTTCACTTCCAGCATTGTTTTCTCTTGAACCTTTTTCAGGAGAATTTGACACTTTCCTTCTTTCTCCCTCCCAAGTTCTCACAAGATTTGATAAATAAGTACATTTAACTCCATTTTATTTATATGAACCTTTACATGCTATATTTCTCCAGCCTGAGTTTGGCATACACATTTAGGAGTAAACTTTTTGCTTTTTCAACTTGTCATTTTAGTCTGTTTTTCTTTCTCACAGTCCACTCATTTCCTGGATTTGCCCTCACCCACCTCATGCCTATGAGAAAAAGCAGCTGAAGAGGAAAGAGGGAACTCTGAAGGAGTGTTGACATTAAGAAAAGTCAGAGAAAAAGAGAAAAAAAAAAAGGCAACCTGAACTCCATCTTCTTTCTTAGCCTCCACCAGCCAGGGAGAATTTGTGGTGGCACTAAATGCCTATACCACACTCAATCTGTTTGTGTTGAATGTTGTTGGGGAGGGGCCAGCAGGAAAGGCCAGTGTGCCAATCTCCTTCTCCTATATCCTCTAGATTCTTTTAATAGCAAGACTGACTGATATTTCCCTTTCCATGCAAGTAATAAGTGCCTCTACCAAGCTTCCCAGGCTACCGGTTTTCTTCTCTGTTTTCCATGCCCCAAATTAACTCTCTCCCCCCTACTGCCTTCATCTCTTCTTTCATTTCATTCCAACTCAATCTTACTCCAAGACCTCATTTTAAGTGGATTCATTTCATTCCCTGTACCTAAAGGAACCTGTCTCCACACTCCCACCACCATTGCAGAAGCCTTGCTATCTACAGCCCTGTTCTCTGTGGCCTCCTCTAGCTTCTCCTTAACTAACCCTAGCTTTGAGAGGGCACTACATTTACAGCAGTTCTCTTTGAAAATTGCACTTTGTCATATCCTTTTCATAATAAATAAGGAAGGGGGATAATCTTTCCTGGATGTCTGCTTCATCACCATCACCATCTTACAGATGTTGATCCGCCTGGTAGTCAAGAACCACACTGTCTCCTCTGTATCTTGCATGACCCAGATATACATGGCCTTTTGTGTGGGTATATTTTCCAGAGCACTTCCTCAATGTGAGTGGACTTCATTTGAGATGTTCTCAAATAGATGCACTACTATCCTTTCCATATCCTGCACATCACATACTACACTTTGCAATAGTGTCTTAAAACAGAAGCTTCACTCCACAAAATGCCAATCTTTGAAGCCAAATTGATTTCTCCAGAAGTCAGAGAATGTGAGAAGTTCTTCTTAGCAAGGAAGAAAAAATGAGACATGACTGTAATTGGGAGGAAACAATAAATACAGAATCTAAAAATTCCCACTGTCAAAGAAAAATTGCATCAAAGTTAAATTAGGCAAGAAAGATTTTAATACGGATGCAATAGAAGATTAAACTCAACTATATTGAAATGAGGAGCTGGGGAGTTTTTAAGAGCTGTAATGGGGGGAATCACATGATGCCTGTCTTCCTTAATTGCAAAGAAAATGGAAACTTTCTTGTATTTTCAAGACAAGCTGTAGTTTTACATTTTGGAACAAGGCACCCACAGACATTGGGCTACTACTCTCCCACAAAGACTGAGAGATAGGGGTGCTAGCTTCCTTGATGATTAAATTTCAAAGGGTGGCTCCTAGGTCCTTGAGAAAGACATGCCTTGGGACATAAAACTGGCAATAAGCTTCTAAGTAGATTTATATACATTTCAAAGGGACAGAGAAAGAATTTGCAATCACAAGCTTCCTAACATAAATGCTCTAAGGGAGGTCAGAGGCCTATCTTCCTGAAGAAACCTGTCTGAAGTTGTCAAGCTAAGAGGAATGTTAAGGCTCTCTTGATCACTGTGGAGAACAAAAAAAAAAAAGTGCCCATCTTTACCCCTAGGGCCTCAGCTTCTTCTCTAGGTTTGAAAATTCCTATCTCAAAGAGAAAAAAGGAAAGCAAAGGAAGAAAGGGAAAGGAGAAGGTTGCTTTTTAAAAAGTTTTCTGAGAAACAAATTTTTAGCTTTAAATTTGCTCAGCACTCTTGGGTGCTGAGATTATAAACAAGATACAGTTTCAGCTTTTAAGGATTGCATAGCCTAGTAAGGCAGACAAGAACAAATAAGGGCAAGTGTTATAAGAGACCTATAGAAAGTACTCTGGGAGCACAGATGATAACATTAGCTTATATTTATTAAGTGCTTATATTCTAAGAGTTTTGCATTTAACCATCACAAAACCTTATAAGGTACTAATATCTTCATTTTGAAAAAACTGAGGCTCATAAAGGTTAAGTAATTTGCTCAAAAATCACACAGCATCTAAAATGGCATAGGTATGAACCTGTAATTCCAACTACTCGGGAGGCTCGGGCAAGGGGATTACTTGAGCCCAGGAGATAGAAGCTGCGGTGAGCTATAATCGCGCCACTGTACTCCAGCCTGGGCGACAGAGTGAGACTCTGTCTCTTAAAAAAATAAATAAATAAAATGGCATAGCGGCGATTCTAACTCGGGCGCGCCCGTTCCAGATTCTGCACTTCTAACGAGGTCCGGAGGAATGGGGCAGACTTTATACCAAGGATATGCTGGATGAGCCATTAAAAATTTACAAGAGTAGTAAGACAGAAAATGGGAGGGGCGGGGGCTGGTATACCAGGGACGAGCGAAATTCCAGGCAAGGGGGAATCGCCTGATTCATCGCAGAATCATGCAGTCAACATGGATGGCAGGAGGTAAACTGGGGCTCTAATGCTGGAAAGGAAGACGAATGACCTACAACCGTCTTCTCAAGGGCGAGCACTTTCTCACTCACGGCCCAGGGCTCTCGGAGGCCTGGATGCCAGGCGGGAACCGACAACTAGCCGGGCTCACACCAGAAGCCACCTCCCCAGGCAAGTCTCCCCGGCCGCAGCTCCAGCTCTGGTCCCTGGAAGGACACGAAATACCCCCAGGATCCGCGGAAACCCATGAAAATGTAATAACCAGATGCTACCCTGTCATTTCTGAATGCAAAGCCACTGGTCGCCGGAGGACGCGCAACCAGGTTTTAGGGTTACCACAGCCCTGCCCAAGGGTCAGAAATACGGGGAGGGTACCCAGGAATTGCCGCCTGCGGGCTGTGGCTGGGTCCTTGGCTCCCTCACACCAAAAGCCGAAGCTGACGCCACGTTCCAAGGTCTCTCTCCGCAGACGCTCAAAATACCCTTGCGGCTGTGGGGCCGCTGACCTGATTAGAACGCAGAGAGGAGACGGTCGTGGCCGCACCGAGAGTTTGCGACCAATCAGCTTTCCTCAGCCTCTCGGATCGTGGCTGTAGCAACCAATCGGCGCTTTCTCCGTGCCGCCCCGCCTCGACTTGATTGCGCTAACCCGACCACCTCTGGGGAAACATGATCTATTCTGGGAGGCTAGTGCGGATGTTTCACCAGCTGGAGATGCGGACTTTGGGGCTTGGGATACCCTGCCCGCCGAATGGAATGGTTGAGATGCTGCGCCCCATTGGCGGAGGATGGGGGCAGAGCGCGGCTGGAGGCAGGCCTGAGCAGAGGTCGCTGCCAATCACATTGAGCCTGCATAGCTCCCAGTCTTGTACACGGATCCAAAGCCTAGTTTTTTATAGTGATACCCCCACTTTAGCGAATGATAGAGCTATTGGCGCCTCTTCCCCCCGTTGAACAATATCAGTGTTCTTTGAACTGCCTTACCTCCCCTGCCGAGGTCCCACTCCATGAAACCTCCCTTGACCCCTACCCCTTTCTGGGTTTACTGGACTTTTGAATTCCCAGAATGACTTGTGTGTTTTCCTACGACTGTACTCCCTTATTGTTTATAATTTATTTATTTTTCTGTCTTCTTCACTAGTCTCTAATTCATTGTGTAATTCTTCACACAATATCTGGCCATAGGAGGTGCCATAACGCTACCTCCTCAATGAAATCGTTTACAGAATCCTGATGTGCTAAACAAATAAAGCAAAGCTGTGCCGCTAGAAGTGGAAGGGGAGTGTCCAAAGCACTGAACCCGAGGCACCTCTTCTGAAATATTCAGTTTAACATATAGAGATATGGTTTATCCTGGATATGAAAAACATATTTAGTGCCCCTTGGAAAACTCTTGAAATTTCATCTTTTGGAGCTTCCAATATTTTTATACTGTTTATTTTTTCCAATCTAAAGACCTAGACATCTTCTCTTTGCCTCTTTAGATGAACCCCTCACTCTCTTCAGAATCTGTTCTTTGTACGTATTCGGAATAACAAGCTCATATTGCTGTCAATATTTTGTTTGCAGGTTTTTCCTCATTCTAGCCCTTCATCTTTCAGGTGCTGTTCTATTTGTTTTTGTGTTTTGCTATGTTTTGTCTTGAAGTTTTTTGTTCCTCGAATGATTGAATTCATCATGCTCCTCTTTTGTGTCACACCATCATTGGCCCCTGCAAGTAAGACCCTCTTGTTTTTTTGTTTGTTTGTTTTAGAGATGAGGTATCACTGTATTGCCCAGGCTGGAGTGCCATGTGACACGATCATAACCCCTCAGTTTTTTCCTTATGGCTTGCATTTTTTAAAGTGTTGAAATATGGGTACCACTCTCTTAGTTATGCTTACTCTGCCTGACAGCTGTAAATCTGAATTCACTGGAGAGGTGCCTCTAGCCATTCCATCCATCCTCTTCATTGGACTCCAAAGTAATTATTCTGACTGAATATCATCCTCTTTTAGCCTTTTTCACCATAGAGTCTCAAGCCGTGAAAATCATGGATTTAAACTATTTGAAGTCAGGATTTTCATACCCCTGGACATGTATTTCACCTTATATCCTTGGCTATCAGGAACCCAGTGGCATG